TAATTAAATAAACATAAAATAAATAAATAAATTACTTCATAAACAAATAAATAGCAAATTAAATTTATGACTATCACTATACAATAGAAATTATAAGAAATATAAAAAAAATTATTTATAAATAGAAAAACTAATAAGTCATTGATTTCAATTACTATTATTTTGATATATAAAAGTAGCCTCTATATTTTACACTTTCTTCTTCAATGAGGCTTGATAAGACTCAATGGGGTCCTTCGATGTATTCAACCAATATTCATTCATACCACATCTATAACATTCATTTTCAAAATACTAACTTGATCCATTTTTATTCTTTTTTAGTTTTTTTTCATAGTTTATCTATTTATGATGGTGAGGTGTATTATTATGATCATCATGATTATAATGCTAATTATTCGATCATGTTTGTGGCTATGACCGGATCTTCATCCATGCTAAAAATTATTATAAGATGTCACATTCACTTAAAGAAATGAAGTAGATCCAGTTGAGCAAGATTTATTATTTTTCATTAATAGCTCATTATTTTATTTGGCCATAAGTAAGTATGAAATCGATTCAGAATATTTCTTAAAATCTTTTTTTCGATATTGCTACCGCAAGATCATATTCGAGATGTAAAATGTAGAGAATATTTATTCAACATCAAGCACCCATGATTAATAATTTTTGCCTAAAATGTCAAGGAGCCACAAAATCAAATTTTGTGAGGTTTGATACGGTAAAAATTTTATAATACAAAGTGTAATAATAATAATATTAGGAAATAAGAACAAAATTTAAATAAAAATAAACATAATAATAAATTTTAAAATTTTTAAACAATATATATTAGATCATTAGATTCTATATATTAAATCATTTAAGTTTTTCAAATGTATATTCTATGTATCATTAGATTTAAAATACATGATAAATCAAATACATACCTCTTAATGATTGAGATAATTTAGATCTTTTGGTAGAGCACTAGTGTAGAGAAATAATTCAATAATTGAAACAAATAATTGAGTCATTTGGTAGATACATATCTTATGGTCTATTATATATCTCGGTTGGTTAGAGTTTTGTACTAATAACGTATTATAAAAAAAATGGTAATAACAATAAAAATGGAGAAAAAAAGGATAGAGAAATGATTTCACTATGAAATAAAGAGAATAAAAGAGATAACAACTTCAAACAATTCTCTTAGTCTCTACAAAATATGTATACACAAACTAATGAACAATCAAGCTTATTTATAAGCTTTAAGATTAGGAAGAGAATTCGAAGGAGTTATTGTCATAACCAAAATTTCAAAATTCTTTATTTTTAACTCGATTATTTGTTTTCTTTTATTTTAAGTTTTTTTATTTATTATTTATTTTTCTTATCTTAATCAATGTTATTATTTTTATTTATTCCATTTTTCTTAATAATGTGCAAAATGCCAAATATATATATATATATACACAAAAATATAAAAAAACAAGGTGAATTTAATATTCAGTGGATGCCATTGTAATAAATTCAAAAGTATTATAATAATTGAGGATACAATCGAATCATTTAAAAATTCAAGAGCCGATTACATTGGACAAGGACCAAATTGACCTAATAACAATTTACAGTGACCAAAATGCAAAAACAAAACAAAAAAAATAAAAAAAATAAAAATTACAAAAAATCGGAAAATACAAAGTTTGCACCCCTCCCGCCCACAACTAATTTCTGGGATTATTTTTTCTCCCGCTTCACGGATTCATTTTTAGTTTCGATTGCGAGAACCGATTTCGTGCTTAATTTCGGTCTTGATTTCCAATCCTAGAAAAAATTAATTCCCTCAACTCCAGTTCGCCATTTCTCCCTCATCACCCGAGTCAATAATAGCAGCACCCCCACCTCCCAGACCTCACCGTTTCTGCTGCAACTCCCACAGTCCCTCTAGACCACTTCCCCCAATTCCTGCAGACCTCACCATGCTGCAACCGGCAACAACCGCACAGACTCTTCCCCTATTACCAGCACTGTCACAACCATTCCTTACAACCCAAATGGTCACACACGCCCACCAAAGATCCTACAAAAACAATCTCACACCATCATGATGGAGAACCAAGCCAATATTCACACAAATATATATATACACAAGCGAGTAGAAAGAAAAAAGAAGAGAAGGGAGGGGGATTTTTTTTTCTTTAGTCCGATATCCAAGAACAAATTAATTAAGAGTGAAGCCTGCAAAATTAGGAGAGAGTTAGCGATTGAAAAAAAAAAAAAAAAGGAAATCGACAAGTAAAGAAAAAAGAGAGAAAATCCGAAAAAAAAAAAAGAAATTAAATTTACCCGAATTGAAGGCGAGTCCACATCCATTCCAACCAATTCTTTTAGGTAATCCCTCTAATTTCTCTTTAATTTCGTTTTTTGTTTCAATTTAAGTCCGATTTAAAGTTTGGGATTTTTTCGAAATTGTAAAAATTTGAAGAATAGATTTGGGGATTTTGATAAAATTGAGTCCTAAAGGGTGTGAATTAACTTGATTTCAATCTAACCAAGGCAATATCGCATGAAAATTTGAAGAATTGAAAAATTAGGGTTCGACCGAATTGGGGAGAATTTTTAGAAATTGATTTGGGGGTTTTTGTTTGAGCGAGGAAAGAAGGAAAGAAAGGGGAGAAGAAAGAAAGAAAAGGGAAAATCAAGCTCCCATGGACGAACCTCCACCGGTTCGTCCATGACAAGCAACGACGTGTTACAAAAAAAAAAAACAGAGAGAGACGGGAAAGGGAGAGAAAGGAGAAAGGGAAGGAAAAGAAAGAAGAGAGGGTGCGGGAAAGGAGGAAGAGAAGAAAACGAAAGAAAACAAAAAAATAGGGACGAACCTAGTTCGTCCATGGCAATCGGCAGAGAGACGAGAAGAAGAAGAGAAGAAGAAGAAGAAGAAAGAGAAACGGGAAAGAGAGAGGAGAAAAGGGAAATTGAAAAAAAAAAAAAAAAAAGGGGCTTTTGATCTTAAGTTATGCTGAAATGGGTTTTGGGTTTGGTTTTTGGGTTTTTTTTTTGTTTTAAATGATGTCGGTTGGGCTTGGCCCAACCCATGGGTTAATGGGCCGGATCGAAATTTCGATCCAGATCCGCAAATAAAAAAAGAAGAGAAATTCGGCTGGACGACCCAAACCCAAAAAAAAAAAAAAAAAAAAGAAGAAGAAAGAGTGAATTTTTTTATAGGGATTTTGTTATTTCGTATTAAAATTAGCTATTGAATTATTTTTATTATTTTAATTAATATAATTTTTAATCTGGAATTTATTTTATGTATGCTCGTTACTAATTTAAATTTCAGTATTTGATTTCTTTTATTTAATTCATGTCGCTTTAATTTATTTGTTTAGTAATTAGGTTCGGTAAGTAATAAGTAGAAGATTGTCAAGTCTCCTAAGTTTTAGGGATCGATGATAACCCTTCTTAAAAAAAAAAAAAAAAAGTGAATTTTTTTATAGGGATTTTTTTATTTCGTATTAAAATTAGCTATTGAATTGGTTTTATTATTTTAATTAATGTAATTTTTAATTTGGAATTCGTTTTATGTATGCCTCGTTACTAATTTAAATTTCGGTATTTGATTTCTTTTATTTAATTCATGTAGCTTTAATTTATTTGTTTAGTAATTAGGTTCAGTAAGTAATAAGTAGAAGATTGTCAAGTCTCTTAAGTTTTAGGGACCGATGATAACCCTTCTTAAAAAGAAATAAATAAAAAATATATAATAATAAAATAAAAGAAAGAAAAATAACAAAAAAAATCATAAAACTTTTTAACAAAGTCTCCTATCCGATAGGGACTGTTGTTAGTCAAAAAAAAGTTTTTCTAATAAACAAGTGTTCTCCGACACACCGGTTGTGTCGAGACTAAAAAGTGGATCCGATGTTTGAACCGACGTCTCCCGACGAAAGGGGTCCGACGATCATTTCAATACGATGCCATGCTCCAAAATAAAAAACTTAATTTGACTTGAAAAATTGGAGTCTCAAAAATTGAAAAATAATTTGGCAAAAATAAAATATTTTTGGAGATAATTTAGGACTAAGCTAGATGTGGTACCTTTCTTAGTAAATGGCACTTTTGGGTGATTAATTATCTTCCCATAAGCGTAACCGACTCCTTACCATAGAATCTCCGAACCAAGTGCCAATTTTAGGTTCCTAATTCCTTCAATACTAGGTGGCAACTCCAAACTCGCAAATAGTTTTATAAATAAAATAAAGATCCGAAACTAGTGATACCATCGTGGATCGATTTTTTTATGGGAGTCCCGTCCGATGTCGGGTAGCGACGATTATGATCATCCTTTTAATTTCTCATATTGAATGGTGAATTAAATCGCATTGAGAATTATGAGTAGTAGAGATATAAAGAACATATAAACATTCGTATGAACATTCATTATTTCATAACATTGATGATGTTTTTAGTTCATTTTTTTTTATTGGTAAAAAAATTTCTTATTATTTTTTTCTTTTAATTGAAGGAATCAGGTATTAATTGTTTTTTTTTTTCAAGTTTTTAGTGAATAGATCAATTTCATAATTTCATAGATTGATAGTCAAATTTTGTACATTTCATTTATAACTGTTACTCGTGCCAGTTGATGGAGCCATAGAAGGATCATATCAGCAATGAAGCTACATTGGTAAATAAATAAATTTAAAGATCTCAATTGAACTAATTAAGGAATTAATAATACCAATATTTTTTTACGCTGCGACCGAAATGCTCCGAGACGAGGAAGCAGTAGCAAATAGAGTCCCACTTTATTTAACAAATAATTTTAGCACACCACACATTACGTAGTACCTTAATAGTACACATACAAGCTAAGTCTGTCGCTCTTAGCCTCGCGTTATAGCATATTATCTATGAAAAAAATAAAAAAAAGGCTCACAGCAGAGGAGTGATATCATATTACCACAAAGACAAGCCAGTGGGACAAACCGCTTCTCTTTTCAATTAAGCCTTTATACAAGGCCTGCATCAATGTCCTTGACAACATTTACCATGAAATCCAGGTATTTTTCGGGGACTGGGACGCTCCCATTCAGTTTCTCATATTCAATGCTTAATTTTGCCGAGCTGCCCGAGCCCTTGGATATGAACTGATAGGAGGGCTTAAAGATCTTGTAAACGTTCATGACATCCCCTTCCAGACCGTAATGAGTTATTTTTTTGTTCGCATCATCATATTCCACTTTCTCTTTGCATACCTCAGCTTTCCCTTCTGTTATTCCGTAATTACATAAGAGCATTCAATTCAACTGTTTTAATAGCAAATCACACATTGTAAAGAAAATAGATAAAGAAAAATTATAAACTAAAAACACCGAGGAAAAGACAAATTTATCTATTTTGTAGTATACTGAAGTGGATATGAGTTATTTTTAGTGATTTTAAGCATTTGTATTGTTCCGAAAAGCATCCTAAAAAAAAGAATCAACTGCAATTGTTGCTTTACTGTAAATTGTAATCTTACCTATAGTATAGTTCCAAACCTTGATGGAGCCATCAGTCTCCCAGTCGCCATGATGTACATTAACTGCTTGTATATTATTAGGAGTATGCTCGGGAACCTGGTGGGCTTGGCTCTTCAATAAGTTGTAGAGCTTCTCAGCAGGAGTTTTGAGTTCCACAACCGTCTCCAGCTTACCTTGCAGAGCCATTATTCTGTAATGTGTAAATATCTTACAGGAAGACAATATTTGAGTAAAGCAATATGGTCGGGCTGTCTTTATATACAAGTCACTCAGTTTCTGTTCACAGCTGATCACTTGCCTTCGGTAACTGTTTATTTTTCAATTAAAGTTGGTAAATTACATGACATATTGCGTGCCTCTCATTTTGATGGATTTTTATGTGGGTCATACACGAAAATGATTGCCGTATGGCATTTTTTAACTAATGTTGATAAAAAAAAAAATTAATTGTCATCTGATAATTTATTTTATAAAAAATAAAAATAAAACATTAAAATAGAAGAATGCGTCAGTTAGATACTCTAAATAAATGACAAAATTAAAGTTTTCTCCACTGAAATTTGTCGTAATTATACCCTTGCTATTCCGCCATTTAATGGTCTACACTCCAGCTAACTTTTAACTTACATTCACCCAAAAAAGCTTGGACAAACCTTAAAAATGCTCCCCTCACCCCCAAACTATTCGATCATTATGAATTTTACCCGCAATTAGCTTTGATTCTGGACGGAATCCATGATCAAATATAGATATAAAGATTGAGATTCTGAAACTTGGGAGACAAAATTGATTTGGAAGCAAAATTGAGACCTCATACATTTTTAGGGGCCATTTTTTTAGGCTTGCCCAAAACCCTTTAACTCCATTACTGGACCTGATATGATATCGCAGTTGGACATGCAAGTTGAGTTTATCAAGATGGGCTCAACCTCTTGGAGAGGGACCCAATACGTCTTTCACTCTAGTAGCAGGGGTAAAAAAACGAGTTTCCTTTTTACTAACAAGAATACAAGAACACAGATGCGATTCTTACATTTCTAAAGAAGAGAAACAAGCAAGTATTATGTAGTTGTTTCTCCGTTTTCCATTCCTAGTATAAATATGTAATTATATGCACACATACATACATGTCAGGGCCTTGATTCAGGGGTCACCAGCTCAGGCCTCCAGCAGATATTCAAGATTAGGGGTTGGTTCGTACATAACATGATACAAATTTTGAGGTGAAGGGTATGAGAGGGGTAATCAACATAACTTTTTAAATAACCATCACGGATTAAAAAAAATATGATAGCGAGCATGACTTATCGAGATAGTAAAATAAGAATCACGAAAACCGATATTATGAATACATTAACTGTAAATAAATTTATTCTAATTCATATATTTTTAACAATTTTATTAATTAAACATATTAATAAGTAATAACATATTTTAATTTTCATAAAATATAAGATATTTTATTTCACAAATTTTTGAAATCATTCTTATCATGGTGTATTTATTTTTCTAATTTTTGAAACAAATTAGAAAATAACATAAAATTAAAAATATGACTAAATAATTGATTTTTGAAACAAAATAAACCTACTACTTTACTTTTGCAAACTAAAGGGACTAATTTATAATTTAATCAATTAAAGACAGAATTTGCAGGGCTTTGAATTTGTTGACCCAACCTGAATACATTAGTCTCTTTAGTTTTGATAAATAAATTAATTAATCCTAAATGCTTTAAAAACTAAGTATTTAATATTTTGATTACATTTAATATAATATATTTTATTCCACAAAATGTTTTTTTCATCAATATTTTCATGATATATATTTATTTTTTATTTTTTAAAACAAAAAGAAAAATAAATTAGAAAATAACATAAAATGAACAAAAATAACTAAATAATTGGTTTTTGAAATAAAAGGACTAACTAATTTACTTTGCCAAAATAAAATAACTAATTTAATATTTATTCAATCAAGCCTTGCAACTCTAATATTTGATTCTTATTCTCTAATAAAATAAAATCTGAAACTCTAAATCTAAAATGATTGATTTCTAGGTTTTTTTCTTTTTTCTTCTTTTTTATGTATAACGTTGTTATATACTTGTAAAATGGCATCGGGACACGTATAACACTGAGTAACGGTAATGGAGTACCCCAAAACTATTATACAACGGCCGTTGAATTATTTAACGGCTGTTTTTTAAAACTACAATAATGATGTCTTACTTTTTTAATATATTAGGAACTTCTTTTCTGGAACTGACCCTCAACGGTGTGGTAGAGAAACTATTTTCCTTATCCGAAACCAGTAGGCTATCAACTTTCTCTCTTCTCTCCTCATCTTTACCAGATATAACAGAAGATGATGATCCAATTATTTGCACCATTATGCTTCCACCTGCAAGAAGTTTTGAAATATTACCACCTCACATCAACAAGAAGAAGCAAGACATCTAGTTAGAAATCAGAAGCAACATACTCGTCCCAGTTCAAGTTCCTAGGATGGCAATAGCTAGATAACGATGATATCCACAATTTGCTATCCCCAGCCAAGTTAAACACATGGCCATGTTCAGTTTCTTGAATCCAGTACACCATCCTAAGAAAATCTATAATCTTCTATAATTCCTACCATTTAAGGGCTTATTTACTTTATAACCAAATCAAAATTTCAAAATTTTTTGTTTCTTAAAACATACTTTTTTCGGTGCTAGAGGTTGTTCCTTAAAGCCCATTGATGATTATATTTACAAAAACTTATTCTTTTGGTTTTGCAATGTTTGTCAACGGGCATCTAAATGAATTTTATGGGAGGACAAAAGAAAGAGGCACTGATAATGCATGTAGCCATGAAGCTAAACTAGCAGAGGCAAGGAAAGCGGTAATTTTGTCCAAACAGGGAAAAAAAGGTCAGTCTGTGCAAAAATTAGCTTGAGACGAGCTATACCTTGTTCATTGAATATCAAGAAATCAAATCAAAGAACAGTGTGCATTCTAAACTAAAGAAGAAAACTGATTGGCTGACATCATCTTCTAAGCATATCCTGAGCCACTCTTAAGTATGGCAATCAAAAAATAGAAACTAACTAACAACGAACAATAGCCAGAGGGCAGAAAATTTTACCAAGCACAAGAGCAGCCCCAATCCAACCAGTGGCACCCCACCTTTCACCAAGAAGAAACCATGCAAATCCAGCACCCCAGACTGGCTCCAAACCATAAATTATGGCAGTTTCTGTTGCTGAAACATCACGCATTGCAGTCATCTGTGTAGTTAAGAAATAAAGCAAATTACTACGACATTTACTTCTATTTAAGAGGAAAAATCTTAAAGGCACAATTTTCTAAATCCAATTGACGCCATGTTGTTTGAACTCATCGATGATATTTCCATCCAGAGGAAAGAGTCATCCTGATCCCCCAAATCATCATGCCATGTTATGGTCACTGAGATTTCAGAGATTTTGATTCCATTCCCTAACAGATTTCACATTTAATTTTAATTGAGATGAATCTACATAATAATAGTTTTAATGATACCATATGAAATTTATCTCACTTGTAAAATACTATCGTTTTATATTCAATTGTAATTTTTGCCACCATGAATTTCCAAATCCCAAATGAAACAACTGTAGCCTTGGACGATTTCAGAAACCCACAAGGCAAATAGAATTTTATGTAAACCTCCCACGGACAATATCCTTAAGACAAAAAACAAATTAAAGACCAATCCAAGGTGCCTTTAATCTTAAACATTAAATATATTAGTTTTTCAGACAGGAAAAAAACAAAGAATCTGCCATCATTAGTCCTCTTTCAACTATTGGCATCAAAAGATCTACAAATGACATTAACAAAACAGACACAAACTTTACGGGACAAGAGGGGAAAACTGCCAAATTTAGAGAATGCTGGCTCACAATTAGTAAAGTGCAATCATAAAAAAGGTTGCACTTACAAGGGACGTAACAAAGAGGAATTTCCCAGAACCAGGGTGGGAAGGACAAGTGGAGAGGTACTTTTGAGAGTTCAGATATTTACGTGGGACAAACTTTATGGGAATTGAGTGCGAAAAGTCATAACGCTTACGCCTTGAATAGTTGGGATAATTTTATGTAGCCATATCCTCAAATTAAGCGCCTATTAAGGTGCTTTCCTTATTTTATTTTCTTCTTTCAAGTCGGTTGAAATGCAGAAATAGAGAAGCATGACAAACAAGAATGCACAATGGAATTAAAAAAAAAAAAAAAACAAACAAACAAACAAAGAGAAGAAACTTATTTCAGAATTTTGCAGTTTCCTTTGGAATGTAGGCAAATTAAGGAGAGAACCTAATAATTAATCATACCTCTATCCATAAGCATAACCCAGTTGAGAATAAGCCAGTGTAGAGTGCAGGTATCCATGGAAAAACAGCCATCCAGTGCCAAACCATTTCCCATGTCCATGATGATGGATCACAAGTTTGGACACCCCCAAACCAGCCTCCAACGAAATACCATATGGTTGAGGAGATAGCAATAACACATACCTAAATGAGGAATCAATTCTTCAAACCATGCATGAAGATAACCAGACTACATTTCTGTGTTGTGCGAACATTTTGGGCAGTAAACGCACCTCATATCCAAGAAGAGGTAAGAAGTTCTTTTTATTTGTGTTTCTTGATATATGTTCCGTTCTAAGCATATGCACGCCAAAAAACACCGCGCTTAAGAAGTTCAAGAGATCACCAATCTGGCAATGTGCAATTACGAATCCATTATAAAAGGTTGAAAATAAGCTTCTTTTTTATTCAACCCAGATGAAGAAACATTAAAACATACAGAGAATGCTTGGACTTCCACTGTGATCATCAACAAAGGAATGCAACAAACATGAGAATGATGAAACCGATAAAAACATGTACAACACCTACAGTGGGAGGAGATCCACTGGATTCCAGCATTGCAACGCCTAAAATGGACATGAGAGCTCCAAACCATGTATATGCAGGAACTATTGCTCCTAGCATACCATCAAGCAAAGGAACCACAATTACCTGATAAATTCATACAAAGACATACCCAATTTTGTACCTTTAAGTACAGTTACCAACAAAAAAAAAAAACTTTGATTGATATACAACCTAGAGCTAATCAAGACACTTACAGTGAACATAGATAGAAATGATGCACGCCCAGCTTCTGATGTGAGCAACCCAAGTGCCTGCATTAAGTACCCTAGACTAACCCAAAACCCCAACTCTATCCCAGCATTACGGGTTCGAACATCATCCCATGATTGCAATGCAAATGGGAAGAATGGTATGGCAGAGACAACAAATCTCACAACAGTGAAAGCTGCTGGATCCATTATTGCTTCAACTTCTTTCACAACTGGAATATTACTCGCTACAATATACAAAGAGCAAAAAAAAAAAAAAAAAAAAAAAAGGAAAAATACTATTGCAAAATCAAACTTGCGCCCACAAAAGGTAATGCACCTAAAATTAATGGATATCATACAAGCACATAATAAAATTTAAAATGGATGACGGAATCTCTATGATTGCAAGCTCAAAGTTTCATCCAAAATCAAGAATGTATTATTAATAACAACAAAGCCTCAATCACAAATTAGTTGGGGTCAGCTATAGGATCTTTATGCATCATTATCATATACAAAATCCGCCTCAATATCCAGAGATTTTAAATAAAACAGAATGTAATATAATTTGCCAAAGCAGTAACATAGTAAAAAATATATATATATAGTTTCATCGAATAATTTATTTTTTGTTGAATTTCAAAAAACCGAAATAAAAAAGTAGCATACCATAGACAACGGTGATGACGTTGAGTAAAATAATGGACCTGACTTTCGTGGACGCGAACAGTATCCTCCGCCATAAGTATTTCTTCCCAAACAAGGTCTTAAAATTTAAGCTTTGTTTCTTCTGATCCGAAGCGGAGCAGACTGCTGAATTTGTTGATTTTTGTACTTTCACACCTGAATTAGGACTACAACGAGAAGGGGTAGAAGAAGAAAAGGAATTATTGTGTAAAGAGAACGTTGGGAGACGATGCCGTTTAGAAGGAGATAAATGAAATGTGAACAAGATTGAAGGAGAGAGCTTAGTGGCAGTAGATGCAGAGCTAGCAATAGCGCTTAATGGCCATTTACAAGCCATTTGCTCAGCTTTCCTTCCCTCCCTCTCCCTCTAGTATCTACTACGATTCCTCCCCTTCTCTCTTCCTTCTTGTGTTCTTCGTTTGTTTGTCTGTGTGGTTTCACTCTTTCCACCAATTAAAAGGTTTTTCTTATACTAAACGCTGGATACCGTATATTTTGGATTAAAAAAAGTATTATATTTTTAAATTTTGAAATAATCATTGTAATTTTATAATGCGGTTATTATAATTTATTCACAAATTTAAAGTAACTCCATAAATAAAGTCAATCCGACAAAAAATGTTTGGATATCAGAACTCTAACTGAAATTAATATTCTCACTTTCACAAAGGTTTTTGAGTTCAAATCTATTAGTATTTAAAAAAAAAAAAAAAAAAAAGAAACAAACAAACACTAACTGGAATAGCCCTTCGAAGACAGTCACAACAAAACAGTCTCCACATCCTGAGGACTAAGAAATAGAAATGGACGATTATCTAAGCAACCACGATTCAGCTCGTTTAAAGATATTTTTATTCAAATGAGTGAAACGGCTCTGCATGTCTTTGTTTCTGATTGGTTGCTTCACGTGCTTTTGTTGGTAGGGCTGCACATAAATTTTGGAAATTGAGAGAGGAAAAAAAAAAGCATCCTCTGCCTAATAGCGCTGATGTTTGTTGAGGTTGTTTCCTTTTGGCCCTGTAGTAAACAACACGTCGGTGGGGGGCATCATGATGATGTTGTAGCTCAAGTAGCTCAAGTTTGGTTCGAGACTGGTCTCTCTTTTTTGACAGAGGGTTAAAAAATAGAATTTTTAAGAATAAAAGAAAACAAAAAAGTTCCTGATTTTTTGCAATTCTAGAGAATGAGAAGTGGGCTGGATTTCTGATCGGGCTCACCTAGCCATATTGGGCTTCTAATCTGGCTTATAGATCTCTTAAGTCTTTCCTATGTATGTTCCTTGACTTTGTACTGGACCCGTATGTCAGGCCTCTCGTAATATGGGTTTTTTCTGATATTGCCCGTTAATGATGAACCCAATTTTACTCTCGTTTAAAAAATTTATTTATAAGCACTGCGCATGCAGCCCACTTTTGGGTTCCAACAGATCAACAGGAAGGCATCAAAGGGAGTAATGAATTTTGTGCCACCATGTTGTGTAATGTTCAGGAATAATGATATATGATTGTTCTTCTATTAAAAAAATAAATATAATAACTACAAAGATAGTTTAGTGTAATTTATTTATTTTTATAACCTTGCAACTTCTCTCGCAAATTACCAATAACCTCTAATGTTTAAATCTCTCTATGCCAATTGAGAAAGTAAATAATTAGTTTAAGCTATAATTCTCAAATATATATAGCCAAAGCTTTCATATGTATGTGTGTGTGTGATTGTGAGTGTGAGTGTGTAACAAAGTGAACCATCTACACAATTTTTATTCTAATATAATGGATATAGAAGCAAAAATGTCTGAATTACTGAAAAGAGGAATCAAAATAAATAATAAAGAATTCGAATGACATGAGTGTGTAACAAAGTGAACCGTCTACACAATTTTTTTCTAATATAATGGATACAAAAGTAAAAAAGTATGAAAGAATGAAGAGAGGAATCAAAATGAATAATAAAAAAATCGAATGATATTTTAATTTAATACCTTGTTTGAAATTATTGTGAAAATATTGGAATTATTTCTTCTTATTGCTTTAATGAACGAGAGAAAGTCTTTTATATAAAAAACGGACGAGTTGGATTGAGTGTTGTCTTCTAAGATTGCCGAGTAAGCATAACCGACTTAACAACTTCAACAACTAATTAAGCTGATTTAACCAATTTTTGATTTAACAACTCTAACGATTTTTGGATCATAAATAAACTGCGATACCCATCCTCAAGTTGGAGCATACACATTGTGAATGCCCAACTTGAAAACGAAGGTGCGAAAAGGAGTAACGAGCAAAGTTTTGGTGAAGCAATCGTTAGTCGGCGACCGGAAAACACTCGGAAGAAGCTTGAGGATGCCGACTTGAAGTTTACGTCGAACGATGTAACAATCAAGCTCTATATGCTTGGTTCGTTCATGAAACACCAAGTTAGCGGCAATGTGAAGGGCGGAATTGTTATCACGGAACAACAAAGCGAGAATGGGATGTGAAATTTGAAGGTCATGAAGAAGATAAAGAAGCCATCGTATCTTACAGGTGGCATGAGCAAGAGCTCGATACTCTACCTCGTAACTAAGCCGAGAAACGAGTAGCTTGTTTCTTGGACTTCCGGGAGATTAAAGAAAAGCATAAGAACATGCGAGTACCGGTGATAGATCATCCGGTATCCAAAGTGCCTAAATCGGAATCCGAAAATCCTTGAAGCCGAAGGGCACTAGTTGAAGGGAAAAATAAGCCTTGACTAGTGCCACTTTGAGGAAACGAAGTACCCTATGAAGCGATACGCAAATGATTAACGGTAGGGTAATCAAGATATTAAGATAATTGTTACAAGGCAAAGGCAATATCGAGGCTTGGTTGTAGTCAAGTAGAGTAGCTTGCCAACAAAGCTACGATAAGCGAAGTTATTTGGAAGAGTGGGGTTGTCATCTTTTGAAAGTTTAGGAGCTGGAACCATGGGAGTGGCAATAGATTTAGAATGAAAGAAACCCGAGTCCTGCAGACAATTCAATGGTATACTTGCACCGGCTTAAATTGATACCTTTGGAAGTCGAGCAACCTCGAGTCCAAAAAAGAACTTAAGAAGTCCTAAATCCTTGATTTTGAATTTAGTGTGCAAAAAGGACTTTAGATGATAAATTTGGGGCATATCACTGCTAGCCAAAATGATGTCATCAATATAAATCAAAATGGCAAGGAATTGGGAACCGGTACCTCTAACAAAGAGGAAATGATCGAGTGCGACTCGAGAAAAGCCTTGTGCTAGCGAGAGCGGTGGAGAGTTTAGCAAACCATTACTCGCTAGCTTGTTTCAAATCATAAAGGGACTTCATGAGTTTGCAAACCCGAGTAGGAATAGCGAGCTTTAAAACCCGGAGGAAGGCACATATAAACCTCTTCATTGAGATCTTCATGCAAGAAAGCATTATTGATGTCAAGTTGCTCTAAATGCCAATGTTTAACGAAGGAGACTGCTAGAAGAGTGCGTATTGTGGACTATTAGAAGAGTGCGTATGGTGGACATCTTGGTAACTCGGACTAAAAGTGTCCAAGTAATCAATCTTAGACTATTGGGTGTATCCTTTTGCTATCAAGCGAGCCTTGAACCTCTCAATGCTACCATCGGACCTATACTTGATCCTATAAACCCATTTACATCCAATTGTTTGCTTACCAAGAGGCAAGTCCGTGAGTACCCATGTGTTGTTTGTTTAAAGAGCTTGAAGCTCATCCTGCATAGCAAGTCTCCAACACTCATGTTTAACAACTTTAGAATATGTTTTTGGTTCGAGTTATGGGCAACATTAATTGAAAAACTTTTATGAGATGGACTAAGATGCTAATAAGAAAAAACAAGAGCAAGGTGATGAGGAGAAGTACCTTTGGAAGTAACGGAACCTACGGTTGACGGATGATTGGTAGAGCTAGCATGAGGAATGGAGTAGTGGACATAGGCTTGTAGATAAAGAGAAGTATGCTTAGATCCGCAAGATTTTCGAATTGGTGGAGTAGGGTGAGAAGAGGGAGAGGAATAAGGAATGACAAGAGGAGTAGAATTATGTATAGTAGGAATGTCAACGGTAGAAGTATGATTTTCATATGAGCGAGCGGGGAGAGATGTGAAGGTCGAAGAAAAATATGAAATGGAAGCGAGAGGGTAACACAAGGTCGGACAAAATGGAAGAAGAGTCGGATTGCATAGGATATATGTGTTCATAAAAGAGAACATCCCCGGAAATAAAAATTTTATAAGTATCAAGATCGTATAATTTGTATCCTTTTATGCCATAAGGATAACAAAAAAAAAACGCTTAACGATTCTAGGAGCAAATTTTGATCTAGATTGATCAACGAGTTAATGCAAAACATAAGCAACCAAACACTCAAAGATGAGAAAATATAGGTGGCGTGTTATACAAGACTTCAAATGGTGTTTTATTTGCAAGGATATGAGAAGTTAATCGATTTATTAAGTACACGAGCATGCAAAATACAATCCCCTCGGAATGACAATCGAAGGTGAGATTAAAATCGCAAGGATCTAGCAACGATCACTATGTGCTTGGTGTTTTTCATTCCACTACACTATTCTGCTCGTGGAGTGGAAACACAATATCTTTGGTGCATTATGCCGTGAAGGTGATAAAATGTGGGCATATTAAATTCCCGACCATTGTCGGTTCTAATGCACTTTACCTTAATAGAGAATTGAGTATTAACAAAAGCATAAAAGTTTTACATCAACATCCTAGCCTCATATTTCAATTTCATCAAAAACACCCATACACATCGACTAAAGTCATCAACTATTGTAAGAACATAGTGATGACTCGACATAGTGGCTACCGGAAACGGACCCCAATTATCTATGTGAAGTAGTTCAAAGCAAGCATCACTAACGGATGTGCTTATAGGGAAAACTAGTCTTTTTTGTTTGGCTATATGATATGTTTCACAAGGGGATATATTTTCAGCTACAATTGTAGAATCTAAAGATTGAAGACTTTTGATTCTAGGAACAAAAGGATGTCCTAACCGATTGTGCCATAATATGGCGATGAACCGTGAGAGGCAATTTGAAGCACATGGAACCGAATTAGCTCGGCCACAAGTAGCAAGTTCGGATGTGGAGAAATGATAAAGGCCTTCAAATTGTCTAGCTATACCAATCATCTTCAAGCTTTTCGGGTCCCGTATCACATAAAAATCGAAGTTGAAAAATCAAACAACAATTGGAGTCGAAGTAAGTTTAGTTACCGAAATGAGATTGTAAGAGAAGGATTGTGCATATAGGACATTATATAAGATTAAAGATGATGAAAGATTTACGAGTACCAATATGAGTGAT